ATTGAGTTGCACGCATATCTCTTCCTCTTTTGATAAATTCTTATAGTTGCTCCAATCAACTATAGGAAGAGGTATGCTTGTAAACACAATATGCTCAACAATAGGACTAATATGTCTAAAAGCATTGAGTACATGAATTGACCAAGGTAGAAAGTTTGAACCATCATTTTGGAGAAGCACCGGCTCCAACTCGATAGGCGTCGACATCCTTTTCTCACGGCGGTGAAGCTTTAGGTGAGAACCTTGCTCCGATACCAATTGAAAGGACCTAGGATGCCGCCTAGAGGGGGATGAATAGGCGTTTCTGAAAATTAACACCTTTAAATATGGAAACGATTAGTAAAGGGAGTTTCTAAAATGGAAACTCCGAATAAAGAGTAGTACCACCCCTCACAAGTTAGTCACAGAGTATACAAGGTATAAAGAATGTATCTAGAAGCTACAACCCTACAACACAAAGTTAGAACTGAAAATAAATATTTTCAGCACAGAGCTCTAATACCGGACGTGTCCAGTATGAATACCGGACGTGTCCGGTATACACGGTTTCTGCAGATCAGCCCCGAACTTGCTCCTTTCGATTTCTATCTTCGAACCAAACTACAGGCACTTACTAGAGATGACAATATACATAGAGAACCTGCACAAGAGCTGGAGCAACACAAATATCAAATGAAATACGAATTAAGACACGATATTTGTTTTACCGAAGTTCGGACTCGTTCGAGTCCTACTCTCCATTGAGGAGGCTGCAGGCGACCCAGCGAAGGTCAGCCCTAGAGGGTACCACGAAGGTCACTCTAGTCGGAGTCTTTTCCAGCTCCTTTTCCTCTTTTCACTAAATGATTCCGAGGCGGCGGAATCGACCGTTACAAACTTTCTGAAGCAACCACAATCTCTCGATTGCTCTCCGGCGACGCCTAGCCGTTTAGGACCGAAGAGTCCAAGAGTAACAAATGTGAATCACGAGATTGACAATATGCACAAGTGCTCAAGTGGTGGCTTCCTCTCTTTTTCAAATTCTCTCTTAACCCACAAATTGATTTTGCAATTTGGATCACACACTCACTAAGAGAGGGTTTAGGAGAGTTGGCAAGGCTCAAAAACATGTGTCTATCTCAGCAGAATTAGCAGCCTCCAAAGGTGGAGGCTTGGGGGTATTTATAGCCCCCTTGAAAAACTAGCCGTTTTATAGCCGCTGCAATACCGGACACGTCCGGTATGACTTACACTGCCCCAACGGTAACTAAGTTATAGTGAAGTTGTGAGGCGTCGGAACTCCCGATGAATGCCGGAACTCCCGACCGCCGAAACTCCCAACTCACGTCGGAACTCCCGATCCTCAGCAAATTTGAAAACCATGTAACCGAGTTAAAGAATATGAGGTGCCGGAACTCCCGACACATGCCAGAACATCCGACCGTCGGAACTCCCGACTTATGTCGGAACTCCCGACCCTCAAGGCTTTGGAAAACTAGCCGTTGGCCTCTGGTCGTCCATACCGGACACGTCCGGTATGACCAGGACAGTGAACCCTCCAAGACAGTTAAAGAGTGAGACGTCGGAACTCCCGACCCTTGCTGAATCTCCCGACCGTCGGAACTCCTGACCTACGTCGAAACTCCCGACGAACCAACCTGAGAACAACATTTTTACAGTTACTGGGCAAATACTGGATACGTCCGGTATGGCCAGACCAGCAACAAGTCAGTTAGCTCTTTTGTCTCTCAAACACTCAAATCTCACATGGGTTGGCTTGAGCACTTATGAAACATTATCTATCAACATGATGCATCCCTCTTAATAGTACGGCATGCCTATTTACTCAAATTTAAAAGTATAACGGATTTAAACCTTTTGAGTTGCTCTTGTTTTTGAACCGAAGCCGTGTATTCCAATCTTCATCAAGTGAGGGTGCCAACATGTTGATATTGATCTTTTTCACTTGAGCATAGCCATCTTGAGCACGTGACTTGATTCCATTCATCAAATTTGAATAATCCCAAATGTATCAAGTCACTTCTATCAAACACTCCAATAGTGATTTGATCCTTCACATCAATATGACCATCGTAGCTTGATTAGTACCTCAACTAAATGCAAGTACTTTCTTCTTCACCCTAGCTAGGTTTTTCGGCCGCCAAGCCGTCGCTTGCCCTTCACCCTTGCTTAGTACCTCGAAGCCTTTCCTTGCTATCTTCACCATCTCAAGCCATCAAGTCACATCTTATGTTGAATCATCCATTCATTTGTATTGTTGTCTTTTTCATTTCAATTTAGCAAGCTTCAAATATGAGACCATTCCATATGCAATCCCTTATGTCTCATTAATTAATTCTCACAAGCTTGCTTTTACATAGTACATGGAAATCCCACAACAAATAAGCCTTTGCATGAATTCCATTTGCATTGTTGTCTTGTGCTTGAACTAGATTGTTTATACAACAACACATCATTTTGGCTTTCATTAAGTACCTGTGAGATAACCTATAACCTGTCCACACTTAGCAAACGGGTTAGACCTTTAATCACATTGTCATTCAATCATCCAAAACCCACTAAAGGGCTAGATGCACTTTCAACGCCGCCGTCAAGCGGCCTGGCTGCGGCGCCCCCTTGGCCGAGCCCGACGAAAAATCTTCCCCGGCTCGGTCTTCTTTTCCCGCACGACGGCGATGTCGGCAGCGTGGTGCACGGCGAGTTCGTTCTCTTCCCCTTTTGCCCCTCTTTGATTTGGATCTGTTTTCCTCTTATCCGAACCATTGAGTGTTGGGGATTAGGGTTTAGATCTAGGGTTAGGGTTAGGGTTCGGGTGTCGACCTCTGTTCTTTTTCTCTTCTTTGGATTTCCTTTCTTTTCTTTGATTTCTTTTCCTTTTGGAGTTCATCCGAATCTCTTCCCTTCCCCTTCTTCTTTTGGGGTTGACCCGATTTGGGATGGGGTTACAAATTAGGGTTAGGTCTTAGGGTTCGGCCAAATCCGAACCCACTCTTCTTCTTTCTCACGCGAGTTAGGGTTAGAGTTGGGAAGAACCCTCTTTCTTGTCAGATCCGAACTGGATTTGATCTTTTCTGTTCTTTGCCGTGCGTCGTCGAACAGTGCGGCTTCTTTCCCCACGCGGTGGCGGTGGTGACCGGGGTTCCAGTGATATCCGCCACCCCCGGTCCCTTTACTTTTTCTTTTACCCGGTTAGGGTTAGGGTTACACAGAGGCAACCTAGCTCTGGTACCATTGTTAGGATCGTGGGTGTATGTACCTCTCTGTGTAACTCGTAGATCCGGGAAGGCTCCTCGCCCTGGGTTCCTCTGCACGCCTGGCTGTAGCCTCGCGGACGCCGGTACTTGGCACGGTGGTGAGGAGGCGAGGTGGCGATGCCATGGAGGTCCAGAGGGGACGGTGTAGACCTGCAGGGGGCGACGATGTCGTTGGTGGGCACATCCCGTCGCTGGCAGCACTTCTTTAGAATTGGATTAGGGTTTTTTTCTGTAGGTGGGTGACGGCTCCGTTCAACCTCGTGACCCGAGCCCAGTTCCCCACTCCTCTATATATATGTGCTGTGCGATAGGGGCCCATCAACCAGTTAGAGTTGGGCTCCCCCGATCAGGGAGCTGAGGCAAGGGCCCAATAGGCCGTTGGGCCTATTGGTGGAGATCAACTAACACATGTCACCTTTTATTACCAAAATTTGTTTGGACCATCACAGGAAACAATAAACTAATTTCATTGTATTGGAGAAAAGATTTGGTGACATAACATAAGTAACCGAAGTAGAAAATGGTTGTTTAGCAAAAAAAAAAATTTACTGAAAATGATGTCAAAGGAGCCATTTTCCAAATGGAACGTAACAAAGCACATGTCTGGATAGTTTCCCAATTGAGTTCTATAAGTTTGTGTGTGTGTTGGGGGGGGGTATAACTAAATCCACTTGGTTGGATATGTTACACGATTTCTATGAAGGAAAACTTTGTCTTTTTAGCCTAAACTTCGGGATAATAACATTTCTGCCAAAATGTTAAGAAGCTTTGAAAGTTCAACAAATAGATCAATTGATTACCAAATGTGAGTTTCAAAATCTTCACAAAAGTTGAACCAAATAGGATAAACAAGGTAACAGAGACGGTGGTGCAACCATCATAGAGATGGCCTTCCTACCCAGTACGAATATTTTGCAAGGCATCACAATCCTTCATGAAACAATTCATGAACTGCATAGAAAGAAACTAAATGTCATCATTTTTAAGGTTGATTCCGAGAAGGCATATAATAAAGTAAAGTGGTCCTTTTTTAACAAACGCTGACAATGAAAGATTCTTAATGAATCGATCAGTTTGTCTTCAGAAGGAGCACAACAAACCCATAACTAAAGGGGAATGTTGTTTCCTGGAGACAGTGGTAATGGAGATCTTTACAAGAATGGGTGACTGTTTTCTAGTAATAGGCTTAGTGCTTAGCATGCCTTTGAGTTTGAGTTTGTCTCCAAACTATACTTGGTTTTCATAAGTCTTAAGTCGACCGAAGGCTGGATCTATAAAAAATGGATGGTTGTTGCCAAAACTTTTGTAAAAGGCGAAGACCCCTCCTCTTCCTGGAAAAAAGGTTGGAAATCAACCCCCACACCCAACAAATGAAAACCTGGCGGGGGTATATGAAACATCAGATCAGATAAAGAAAATTGTAGTAAGTTTAAGGGTTCGTCTAGACTAGCAAACAGCAAGAGTAGACTTGGGAATTAAAAAGATAGGATTGCATGCGTCTGCAAATTAAAAAGACTAACCGACGACAAATGTTGCATTCTACTACATCAAGTTCAATCTGAAATAACAACGACAATACGAATTAATAAAAGGGTGCTGATCGATCATCGATCCATGCATACGGAGTTGGATCGAACCTAGCCAGCCACCACGGCAGCCTAAGGTTCGTTTATTTCAGCAACTCTCCACAGGCTCGACATCATTTATTCGGGGCACCCTTGATCCAGCAGCAACTCAGCAAGCACATCAGAAGAATGGCGCCCTCTCCGGCCTCGCCTGCTTGCGCTTCCGCCTGCGGAATGACACGTTCTGATTTGCGGCCGGCGGTGGCGGCGGCTCATCAACTTGTGCAGGTATCTCATGCTCAACTTCAGAGTCAGGCAGCTCTTCAGCAGCCTCTGATGGTTCAGCGGTCATATGCACTTGGAGGCTCCTGTAGCGAAGCTCAGCTTCAGGCCCCGAGAAGTCGTCTTGCGATATATCAAAATTCCCCTGATCGATAATAAGAGGCATCAGAACTGATATATATGTACATTGGACACGCTTGTTTTATACAGAATTAATGGAGGAAAAGTTAAACATACTTTACATATCACCATTCTTTATTACTAATGTAAGAGTAACAGATGGCCGGTGTGTATGTAAAAGGTATGAAAAAACACAATGTAATGATCTCCAAACAACTAGTACTATAAATCGATCAAATGATCATCATAACATATATATGAATTATACATACCTCGCAGACAAGCGAGCAGTATAAACTGGGCGTGCTGCGGAGCCAGGTTCTACAAGTTATGCAGCGAGGTGTCCCTGCCTGAGGCCTGAAATGCTTGGATCTGTTCATGGGCCTCAGATGCACCACCTTTCTTGCATTGATAACATATGTCTGCAAATACAAGGAATTTGCATTATAAAGTACATACATGCATATTGAGTCGACAAGCTAGATCCAACTTTAATCTGTATCTACTGCACTATATATTCATATATATCATGCCCAACTGGGAACAGAAATGCTAATGCAATGTATCCATGTGTATATATATATATGTATACCTGTATCCTGGAGACGTCGATGCCGAGCTGCTGCATGTCGGAAGCATGGACAACAGAGCGGTAGACGTAGCGGCGGATCTTGAGGAGGCGGTGGCCGGGCTTGCTGTGGGTGCAGCGAGGGCAGGTCACCTTGGAGCACTTGCGGCAGAACATGCACTGGTCCGCTCTGTTCTTAGACCCGTGCTCCTTGCATGGGTCCCAGAACTTGGTTCTCAGTAGCGTTTCCAGCCATGCGGGCTTCTTCTTCTTCTTCTCTTGCTGCTCCTCCTGCTCATCCTCCTCCTCCGCCTCCTCCGGATCCGACTCCCACTCAAAATCCGACTCCCACTCCGACTCATACCCATCGGACACCGCCACAATCTCCTTTCCCTTCCTCAGCTGCTTCTCCTCAGCCACCGGTGGCGCTGGCGCCTCCACCATAATCTCCTTTCCCTTTCTCTGTAATGTATAACAATCAACAATAATAATTACACAACAAAGATGCATGAGCAATGTATGATCATATATATGCGGTCAGCGGTTAGGCTTAGCTAGCTAGGTAGATCGGATCGAATCTTGGAACTGTGCATATGCATTTTTCGTATTCCTAATAAAAAGGTGTTAGTTCATTGGTGAGATACAAATATACAGATCGAGTACGTAATAAATAAATCATATATTATATATAGACGACTAAAAGATCAAGAGCTAACTAGCCCATGCACGTGGAATTCTATTGCAAAGGCTAGAAATACGCATGGGTACAGTCCGTATGACACAAAGGATCATTGTCGCCGTCGTCCTAACTTGCCGGGCAAGTGCAATGAAGCCCACATCTTTTTTTTGAGCCACATGAAGCCCACATCTGCCTGCTGTCTAGGCGCTGCTTTGCCCTTTCGGCTCGATCCACTACCGGCCCAACAAGCCACCCCCGAACCTTCTTTCTAATTAAGCCCTCGACACGGTAAACCCAAAAAAAAAAACCCGTCCCCCGTCCCTGATTCTCAAAAAAAAAAAAAAAAAAACTATCATCAATTGACGTCTTAAAAACCCGATATCATCAATTGTTCTAAAAAACTTCCCAGACACCTATACGACGAGGAATAGCTGACATCAACTCAAAATAGGGGAACTAGAATAATTGCTGGCATCAATGAATCAATGTACAAATCACAAAACAATGAAACAAAAGAAAAGTAATTAAGCAGGAATGGTGAGAGGTTTCTTTGCAAAACCACTCTAACGTTCATGCTCACGCTAGCTTATGTGTGAACTAGCTATGCCCACAAGGATGCCATGTCATAACCTGGCATGGCATGCCTCTTCCATTGACCCCTTGGCAATATGAATTGTTAAATCCATCATGATACACTTCTAGGACCACTTATGGAAACTTATTTAAAAATTAGATAAAACAAGTTGGATAGAAATCTAGAAACATGTAAGCAACGTTAACAGTTTTACTAACGGCTTCTAGTTGTATAACCGCTGTTACCTGAAACTCAAATAGTTATGAATGCGGTAACACATAAGAAACACTTTAAATGATTAATTGTTTGTACACAAGTACCACGAGTGATATAGATAAACCTAAATGGATGTCATGCCACATCCTCATGGAATGGATCCTCCCTTAACTCCTGTTGGTATCAAAGGATAAACCCACGATGGCCTTGTGGGACTTTATTAAACAAATAGCTAAAAGAAGTTGCACGGATCGGAAAACCAGAGGCCGTTACAACCGTTATTGTTGCATACGTGCTTTTGGTTCAAATATCCCTTACTACCTGAAACACAAACATGTATGAACACAATAACACATAAGAAACGCTCTAACGACACAATCCAAAGTAATTGGTTATGTGTACCACACCTCATACATGCCCATGAAAAAAGGAGATCTTCAACTAAACTTAGGAAACAAACATATAAACCATGATGAATCTGCAGTCTAACAAAATTGGGATGGAAAAAGTCGCTCAGAGAAAGCACCAAGTAACAATTTTAGATCTAGATAGAGACCATGATGGCCCTATGGGACTTTATTAAAAAATTAGGTAAAAGAAGTTGCACCGATAAGAAAACCAAAGGCCGTTACAACCGTTATTGTTGCATACGTGCCTCTGGTTCGAATATCCCTTACTACCTGAAACACAAACATGTACGGACAAGTTAACGCATAAGAAACACTTTAACGGCACAATCCAAAGCAATTGGTTACACACGTGTACCACGGTTCATACATGCCCATGAGAAAAAAAGGAGATCTTGAACTAAACTTAGCAAACAAACATATAAGCTATGATGAATCTGCGGTCTAACAAAACCGTGATGGAAAAAGTCGCTCAGAGAAAGCACCAAACAATTTTAGATCTAGGTAGAGACCCACTATGACCTTGTGGGACTTTACTAAAAAAATTAGGTAAAAGAAGTAGCACGGATCAGAAAATCAGAGGCCGTTACAACCGTTATTGTTGCATACGTGCTTCTGGTCCAAATATCCCTTATTACTTGAAACGCAAACATGTACGAACACGATAACACATAAGAAACGCTCTAACGGCACAATCCAAAGCAATCCGTTACACACGTGTACCCGGTTTGTACACGCCATGAAAAAAGGAGATCTTGAACTAAACTTAGGAAACAAACATATAAGCCACGATGAATCTGCAGCCTAAAAAAAATTGGGATGAAAAAAGTCGCTCAGAGAAAGCATCAATAATTAACAATTTTAGATCTAGATTGAGACCTTATCAAGCGAAGCTATTGCCTGAATTTATAGACCACAAACATCAGAGATAGATGAATATGAACCCGCTACCTCATAGCAAACAATTCCTAATTAAGATAGGATCCAATTTTAATACATTTAGCAAGGACAAATTACGATAGAAAATCCGTTCTACACACGCATCGATCGATCGAGCAGCTAGCAGATGTGTTTCTTGTATGTTACCTTGTTGCTTGCGGCGGAAGAGGAACCACCTATGCAAGACATGGCGTGGTGGAGAGTGTTCTCACAGCTGACAAGCACAGTAGTTCTCTTTGCTCTCTGGTTCCTCTAGACAAAGCCAGCCGCAATGGGTAAAAGGTAGGGTTATAAATAGGCAAATTCAGAAGGGGAAATGATATTAATTAATACTGTAAACCACTACGTACACTGTAAAAGAAAAAAAAGAAAAAGGAAACAGCATAGTTTTAACATGGCTCTATATATCTTGTTTTGCAAAGAATTAATCACGGCCGTCGGTAAACAAACCTACCTACCTACCAATCCTGCAATCCAACGGTAGGGTCACGCTACACCATGCTGTGTGCTGTTCCAGCAAGCGGAGAGTGATCGGATCGATGACAACTCTGACAGCTAGCCAGAGAAGATGACATACATGATCTCTAGCATTAGCTCATCACGTTGAGCGTCAGGCAGCTTCGAGCTCACGTTGGGCGTGAGCCGTCGACGTGAGGCAACTTCGCCGTTGGCTGCAGACGCAGTTGCGGGTGGTGGCGCCAAGCCAGCTTGGAGCCGCGTCCTACGGCCGGTCAATACGTACGTTTCTACAGTGGTCTACTCATTCAATGTGCTCCTGATGTCAGTCGCGCTACGTTTAGCAGCGCTAAACTTTCGAAATGGAAGGCTTATTGGCATGCAGTTGATGAGATTTCTGGGTCTGCTGCAACTGATCCGGGAACCCGCGTTGGTCTCCAGGTGGAGAAATCGGGCGAGATGTGCCATATCTGCATGCATGCATGCAAGCTTTAATTGAAATTGGATGTGAGATGCCAAATATATATATATATATATATGAATAATCCTAGCTTTTATTTTATTGGAATCAACCTGGATATGCTAAATCTATGTGCTAGCTTTCATTTAGCACCGCTATTGTTTAGCATTTGGCCGCGTCGTCGCCGGTGATGAAATGGCGCAGGTAGGTGCATGGGAGCGTCGGCCTGGTGCATGCACCGGGTCTAGGGCCTGTTCGGCACAGGACTGAAAAATAGAGGAAATGAGTGAAACACAGGAATATAAAATGAATGCAAGGAGGATAGGAAAAACCATAGGAATTCGAATGATGTTTGAAATGTAGGAGTAAAAAGTGTATACATCTAGAATGGTAATGATAATGAATACTCAACATATGTTTTACTAAATGATATAAGCTACTAATACTCAGATTATGGGTTCGCTAAATACCAAGTAGTCCTGTCCTGTGCATGGGTGGGTCAAAATGGATTTGGGTGGTTCTTGTGGGTTCATTTTGCGCAGTTGGTTAGTTGGGTCCTAGCGCCACCTAGGTGGATTAAATGGATCACGATTGTGTTTCCTTGGGTGGGCTGGGTTGGATTGGGTGGGTCCTATGGTTCACGGCGGGTTCCAGCTAAAAAAGCACCTAACACATCTAGAATCTAAGATCCGTGACTGCAAGAATAAGAAAATTGATACTAATATGCATGTATGATTATAATATTCAGACGATGATAAACAACATTGAAGATTGTAGCCAAACACTGAAATCAAACACTTTAGACACATCAGAGAACCAATTTGTTACTAAAAAAACTGAACCGATCATTAAACAACAACCAAGCCACAGACACTAAAAGGAGATGCACCCTGTCCATGACTGTCTACTAGGATCTCCATGCAAGCAGAAATAGGATTGTCGTCATTTCTATTTGGCTCATTACAACTTCTATAGCTCCTTCTAGCCTCTTAACAATTGTTCATCTGCTCCAAAAAAAGTTGTAAGAATATGAACATTCTTAAACATATGCTATCCAAAGGGAGCAACAAAAATTCAGACTTGACTCTTGAGACACTACCGAGTAATAAATGTAACAAACTGAACATATTATCAAGTTAAGAAGCCTAAACAACATATTATCCAGTTAAGAAGCATGAACACAGTATGAAGTGTAGATCCTAAAATTTTCTTCATCAACAACCTGCACGGATGGGACTATAGCAAGAAAATCAGAGGTATCTTGTTCCATATCTGAAGACAATCGGGAGTGCCTTTTCAGTTAGAAATTTGCATGCATACTCCAAACTTTTGATAAAAATGCACTAATTAACTCATATATTGCCCAAAGAGACACAGATAATTCAACCACATACAAAAAGTTGAGAATAGAACAATAATCACAAAAATCAACAGTTACAGTAGTACATGAGAGTACAGATTACCATGGAAGTTAGCATGTCCTCTTGTCCATGAAGTCATTTCCCAAAAGTTCTGTGAGAAGTAGAAGCTAAGTGTTAGTGACTGCTTCTACACAAAATGGGATAATCTATCCATAGTAAAAATAAACAACAGTACCTTCTTCGATTTCTTCATAGGCTTGAATTTCCGATCCTCTACATGTTTTTTCAAGTCCACAACGTCTGAAGGAGAGCGCAACCAACTTTGCGGACAGATTAAAGCTTCAATCTGTTGACGCACAGGATCATCGGCTCAGGTGAGTCGACCACAATAAACGTTATCTGACCACACACTATGGGTAGAGATAGAAGAAGTGAGGAAGAACAGAGCATACACACACAGCAGAGACGTCAACGTTGCCCGGAGCTCTGTATAGGAGATAGCAAATTTGAACTCTCTCTTTACTGAGTTGCAATAGCAAACTATGGGCATGTTCGCTTGTCCTAAACGATCGTAAATTTTCAGCCAGAACAGTATTTTTCTCTCACACCATACCAGCCAGCAGTAATAATCCACAATCGTATACGATCGTTTCAGTCCCAACCGAATAGGCTGTATATATACAACTCTATCCATCTATTCCTAGTACAGCTGCCATGCTGCTATAGTGACTAGACGAGACAGCAGGGCTGACTCTGACGCCTGCCCCTGCTGTGGCTACAGAGCGGTAGGTGAGCCGTTTGGCGCCTGCCCCTACAGTGCTACAGTACACAACAGGGAGCCTTTTCAGCGCCGCCTTCCCCTGCCGTGTGTTCACACAAGGAAGCTGTAGATTATCTAACAATTCTTTTCCTAATCCTACTGCTAACCCTTGAACCCCCTCCATGCCGATCATCTCCTTCAGCTCCTTGAACCGAAGACGGTCGAGCGGCTTGGTGAGGACATCTACGAGTTGCCGACCAGTTTCGATGAACTCGATGACGATCTGGCCTCCATCGACATAGTCCCTGAGGAAGTGGAACTTTATGTCGATGTGCTTGCTCTGGTCATGGAGAACCGGATTCTTCGCAAGGGCGATGGCGGGCTGATTGTCCACCATCAGTGCTGGTGGGTGAGCTTCCACACCGGTCAGCTCTCCCAGCAGCCGGCGCAGACACACAACTTGGCACGTCGCTGTGGCCGCCGCTACGTACTCTGCCTCGCACGTAGATAGCGCTACCATCTTCTGTTTCAGCGATAGCCATAAAATTGGAGCCGACCCGAGGAAGACGAGCACGCCAGAGGTGCTCCGCCGTCCATCGATGTCCCCCGCCATGTTTGCATCGCTGAACACAGTGAGCTGCAGCCTACTTCCGCCGATCTTGGGAAAGACGATCCCCTGATCCACCGTCTCCTTGATGTAGCGCAGTAGCCACTTCACTGCGGCCCAATGATCCTCTCTAGGAGCCTCCATGGAGCAATTGACGTAGCCCACAGTGAACGCAATGTCCGGCCTCGTGTGGACTAGGTAGCGTAGACCGCCGATGATACTTCGATAGAGTGTTGCATCTATCTTCGTCGCGGTACTAGCTTTCGTCAGCTTCAGCCGCTCCTCCATCGGAGTCACGCATGGCTTGCATTCAGCCATGCAACTCCGCTCCAACAGCTTCAAGGTGTACGCGCTCTGTCCGAGTGTGAGTGCGTGCATCTTGAACTCCTTGATCGCCGCCACCGCTTCATTCTTGCTCGTCAGGAGTTGCAGCCACATGTAGCGGCTGCAATCATCCACGAGTAGGAGGAAGTACCACCGACCACCGTTTGTGGCTGGCGTGATTCACCCATAGAGGTCACCGTGGATGAGCTCGAGAGCGTCCGCCGTGTGATACTTGGTCATCTTTGGGAATGACAGCCTCCTCTGCTTTCCGGCCATATAGCTATCACACAGCTCGCCTTCGTGCTCGATGTGGGGTAGCCCTCGGACCATCTTCTCCAGCCGATCAAGTGCCTCGAAGCTGAGATGTCTGAACCGAGCATGCCACAGCCACGGTTCCTCGGTGTGCCATGCCGCCAGGCACACCAGCTGCTCTACCTTCAGGTCGAGCAGGTACAACCGGTTCTGGGACCTTTTTACCTTGGCAAGAAGTCGTTGTTCCCGGTCCCTGATCCTGAGGACTCCGTCCTTGATCAGTACCTCGCTACCATGCTCATCCAGCTGGCCAATGCTGATGATGCTGTAACGCAACTGTGGGATGTAATATACATCCATGAGAGCGTGGTGCTTGCCGTTCTGGCACCTAAAGATGATGGTGCCGCGCCCTTGGATTGCCACCCTTGAGCCATCACCAAACTTCAGCGTGCCGGTAACATCGTCGTCGAGCTCGGAGAAGGCTGCCTTGAGCCCATCATGTGGTTGCTAGCGTCGGAGTCCAGGTACCACCGCTGCTCTTGCTCGCCGCCCACACGTCCGAGGTGGACTTGAGCCGCGGTTCGTTGAGGTTGACAGCTTTCAGGGCCTTCCTAGGTCCTTCCACCGCTGTCACCTCTCCCTTCTCCTCGTCCTCAATGTCGTGCAGTGCACAGAACATCGCCATCAGGATAGTGGCCTTATCATCATCTTCAGCCTGTGCCAGATGAGCCTCAGCCTTCTTTTCCTGCTTGTGATTTGGGCACTCCCTTGCCCAATGGGCCACCTTCCCACAGCGCCGGCAGGCGTTGGGGTCGACCTGCTTTTTCTTCTCCAAAAAGCCTTGCCACGGTGCTTGCCATCACCACCGCGACTGGAGGAGGCTACCCCGGAGTTCCTACGAGCAGCCCACTCCTCCTCTATCAGCAGCAGTTTGCCGCTGTCCTTCGTTGTTGTCGCCTGCTCTAGGCG